ATACATAGTATATAGTGCAAAGAAATTATCCTGAACCTCTGGCTTTTGCATTATTTAAACTGTCATTTGCTATTTTAAAGCTTCAAATCCTTTGTATAGTCTGTGCTTAATGGAAATGGAAATCGATAGCAATAGCTGAAATATTGTTGAAATCCATTCAAAAGTAAAGAAATAGGCATGTTATTTAGCTGCTGAATATGACTGTACAATCGATATCATTATTATTATTATTATTATTATTATTAGTATTATACTGCCTGATCTACTAAATGCTGCCCCAGTTAGATACACAGTTATTGATGATGGATGGATGGGTTTTTTGCCATTCTTATATCGGCCAAATAAATAACTAAAGATGTTTTCTTATGTAATATTTTGATTATGGCACAATTTATGTGTTTGACATTTTAATGGGAGAGTGTATACCCAGTTTAAAAATATCAAAGTGAAGTAACAGGAGCTAATTTTACTCTTCCATCCATCCATCCATCCATCCATCCATCCATCGATTTTCTAGCCACTTATCCTGATAAGAGTCACAGTTGCACATTATGCCTAAATCAAGGCTGTACCAAGGGTCAGATTCTGACTACAGAGAGCAGCTAGCAGATTCTGCTTCTTTGATACATTTTAAATTGTAATCTGTCATCAGGAGAGTCCTCAGTTGCCCCAATGGCCTCCTTCTTCTATCAGGCTGTTTTGTAAACCCCCACAGGCATGTGTTCCTGCAGCACGGAGATATGGACCCAAACAGCAGCTCACTCCCATAATGTCAGCATTAGCATTTCAGGGAGCGTTAGCATCTCAGCGAGCTTTAGCATCTCATGGAGCGTTAGCATCTTGCAATGCATTATCATCTCGGTGAGGTTTAGCATCTCAGGGAGCGTTAGGATCTCCGTATCAGCATTTTGGCGAGCTTTAGCATCTCATGCAGCATTAGCATCTCGCAGTGCATTAGCATCTCAGCAAGCTTTTGCATGTCATGGAGCGTTAGCATCTTGCAGTGCATTATCATCTCAGTGAGCTTTAGCATCTTAGGGAGCGTTAGCAAGATTGTGGGTTAGGTTTGAACCCTGTGCTAATTAACTGCTCCAGGGGTCCTGCCCAACCCCGCTGTCCATCCCCAAGCTTCCCTCACTTGTGTGACACTTTGGACAATAAATAAGCGTAAATTCCCTGGGGGAATGAAGCTGGAAGTACACACACAGTATCTATTTAAACCTCCAGCATCAACACCCCAGAAGAGCGACTCCGCTCCCAGGCCCAGATGACAGCCGCGGCTGGTTCCGTCTGCCTGCCCCCTCACATAGCAGGAGAAATGAAGTCAGCTGAGGAGTCTGTGCCACTGTTTACGCACATTAGGCGTGAAAGCCTAGCGTTCCTGCAAGTTATAAATGAGTTAGTTTAGAAAGCAGCACCGTAATTGACCCCTGTAATCCGGTCTGTGGCGCTCGTTATCTCTGTCTCGTGGTCGCGGGGGGAGTGAGGGGCTGTGGACCTCATGAGGTCCTGTGATTTGTGAAGAGAGGAGTTACAGCTCCGTGTGACTCCTTGTGCCGTTAATCATTGGTGATCATCTTAGTGGCACATGGTGAAAGTACATTGGTGTCTACCCAGGCGATACAGCCAAAATGGCCTACTGGACATCCTCCTGGCACTTCTGATAAATCGGTCTTTGTGGCTGGATCTTAAGGGTGATGATCTGAGGGGACCAAGGTACCAGAACACAAACCTAATTTCCAATTGCACACTGTCTATGGATGTGAATGATTATTATGTGTCCTGTTTCAGTCTTGGAGCTAAGCAACCAAGCATTTCACTACATATTGTACTGAGCATGACTGTATATATGACGAATAAAATGTTGATGGGTTGATTGATTGATGGATGACATTACGATGGTTTAGCCGGCTCTCAGCATTGTGGCAATTTGACGTAACTTGAAATGGATGACCGGATGGTATTTTCATCGTCAAAACCATATTTAATAAATAAAGGCTTTTTGGTACTGGTTGCTATACAGAAATACAAAAGAGGTGTCTGTTCATATGCCTGATCAGCCACATGTGATGTTTGGAGCTAAAAGCCAGGGTTTGGGCAGAAAGTTGGTTCAACTAGGGTTCGAGCTGGAGTTCAAACACTTATAATTATGTTTACCTTAATTTTAGATAACAGATACTTTTGTCCAAAATGATGTACAGGTGAGTGAAATAACACATTACAAACACACAGTTGTCAAGGAGTCAACATAAGTGCAGCTAGACTGAGCTTCCTAAGAATGTTCAGGTACAAGTGTAAGCAGTATTGGAACAGGGGCTGCACAAATCTTCCAAACAAAGCAAGAAACTAATAATACAAATATTCAATCATTAGAAAGTGCATCACTAAGAGCACTGAGGTAACATGGGGTGGTATCAGGCTAGTAGGGGTGTTCCTTTAATGGGTCTTAAATTTTTACAAAATAGTGTAAAGAAAGATTACATTGAAAGCCTGCTCAGAGCTCAGGGGACTGGGATCGCTCACTGTTGTGATATGACAGTCATAAGTATGAGTGTGATGAGTGTGACCCTGCATTGGATAGTAGTGATGGATGGATGGTTGATTGGGTTATAAAGGACCAGAGAAGAATAATGCAATGTAACCCATTTTTCAAATCAAGTATGAGTCTCACAAGCTTTAACACAGAATGATCGACACCCAATGTAATTGACCTCTTTTAAGTCTGGTACTGTAGTCCAGAACACATCTTCATGGGTCATTGATTAAATCCTATGCTTTTTTCCAGCAAGACATGCTATATTAGCAGAAAACCACAGATGAGAGGGACAGAGAGAGAGAGAGAGAGAGAGATTTGTTTACAGCCACTGGAGCTGTGATTGGAAGAGACCCAGAAATTCCGCATCTGTCCCCAGCCTGGTACAGGCCTCCTGTCCTGCGCTTGCCTGCACAAAATGGGATTCACGTATTCTGGACAGACCACGCGGCCCCTCCATAAAATGCAAACACGGTGCCTTCCGGAAGCCCATCCGGGATGAGGGTGGGGGGGTGAGCAGCTTCTCCTAAAAGTGATCACAGTGATGACATATCCCTGGTGGGCAGAGTCATGGCTGCTGTGCTGCTCTGTCCATGTGCATTCCGGGTGGGTGGGGCACTGAATTGAACACCTTGGGAATAACCTATGCTATGTTAAGTGATGGGGGCTTCAAACGGCATGGTATATTAAAATCTGTGGATTTAATTGGTTTAATTATGAGATATAGTGTGATATACTGTACTGGGAAAGAAGTTAGTAGAAGTAACAAAGCTTACTTTAATTCAACGCTTGCAAGCACACAACCTGTAAGTAATAGGCTGTTATGATGATAGCTGGTGTTGTGTATTTTATGAACAAGCAGCACCTTGTCAGACATACACATTTTTACACAATACGCATGGAGGGTCATAAGAGTGCAGATTCACACTTTGAGGTGACAGTGTCTTGTTTGTGGTTAATTCTGTCTCGCCCTCCATGCAGTCCTCAGATGTGGCAAGTAGGATGTCCTTATGGAGCCCTTCAGACCCCCCCAGCCACGTGAATAACAGATCCGCGGCTGCAATATGACCTTGCAGGCAATGCATTGTGGGTAGCTTATTCTCCCAAAGTCAGCAGTGGTGGTGTATTGCTGGAAAGAGAAACACTGAAGCACGTAGAAAGTAGAAGTTGGCACGCTGCTCTCACACTGGGCTTCCTCACCAGTACACAGTAAGCGTCGAGTCAGCCTCCCGTGGTGAACTGTGTCATGTGACCCGACGGCCACATTTACACAACATGCTGCCAGAGCGCGATCGTGGCCGCCCTCACTGAAACACGTTCATTCAGCTCTGGGGATATGAACTGAATTTCAGAAGTAGAGTTCAGACCTCGCGACTGTAATTAGTTATGAGAGCCATGTTGAAGAACGATGCTGCCTGGAAGATTTTCCCAAAAGGCTATTACATGGAAAAAACTGTGCTTCCTCAAAAGTGTGCTTACAGTTAGCACTGCTGCTGCACTGCTGTAAAAACAAGCCTGTCAGCTGCCACCTAGAACTTAATCCTATCTAGAGTTAGTAAGAATAATAAATAAAAAAAGATGTGGTGATAGCAGGCACATGGGATTTCAGAAGTGATCCTGTACTGCAGTTGCTTCATGAATACATGTGGTGTCTTATTTTGGCATGGTATGGGGTGCAGTGGTTTAGGACTCCATAAGCTCGTGAAAGTATGTCTCTGTTTGCAGCACTTTCCTGAGAACCAGGAGAGGTTTGTGCCATCAGAGCTGAATGGAATGGGAGCTATAGAAGATTGCGGGTTCAAAACCAGCAGAGATTGTGCTATGGCACTGGTGGACCTCAGCCAGGGTGCAACACACTTCAGGCACCATGCAGGACTGCCTGTTTTGGGCCTCACTGGGCATTCATCAGGCACCATGCAAGACGGCCTGTTTTGGGCCTCACTGGGCATTCATCAGGCACCATGCAAGACGGCCTGTTTTGGGCGTCATTGAGCCTCCTTCAGGCTCAGCACAGGTGGTTCAATAAGATCCCTCTCAATGCCCATGTAAAAAGAAGAAAGCGAAAAAACGCTGGCCTTGTTTTAACATATTATCAGAAAGCATTATATAATATCATGTGACTATTTTAGATTCATTCCCAGAATTCCCCGCTGAAATTGTACCTGTGACTTTCCTTAGAATATGACAGCAGTTTTGGCAGGAATAACAGTTTGTAATAATGATCCCAAAAGAGTCTCTAATGAAAGGAGTGCCTGGCGGAGATGGTCTTCTGAGGTGTGCATAGGGGGGGCGGGGGCGAGATTGCTGGCTAATATTAGCGAGTGGCTCCGAAGGGGACGTATCAAAGCTCCGTGTCTTCCCTCCGTGCCTACCGGCTGTCATGGCAGAGCACGACGTGTTGGCGGGCATCTCATGGATGTGGATGCCCGGCCCCCAGACTAATGACACCGGTGACCCTTCTTCACAGGAGTTCGCCACGCTGACCAAGGAGCTGAATCTGTGCCGGGAGCAGCTGCTGGAGAAGGAGGAGGAGATCTCGGAGCTGAAGGCGGAGAGGAACAACACGCGGGTGAGCCGGGCCGGCAGGCGTCGTCAGCAAGGCCCCAAGAAAAGAGCGTTGTTTCAAATTGGTGCTTGAGGTTTGAGCTGTGAAGTGGTAGATTTGACCCTGTAGAGCCAAAAACGATGACCTGTACCAATGTCTTATAGTAACACCGGAGAACAGATCAAGCTGACAGTATCTGTTGTGTTTTCTCTATTTTAGTGACTCGAGTAAGTTGGCAATTGAAAAATATTTACCCATAATCAAGTCTTTGATTAGACCAGTATAACATTTGGTCATTTATGCTTTCCTGTCCGTTTTGGATCCACTGCTGTCGCTTTCCAGCAGAGTCACGCCGGTGCTGCAGTATTATTTGTGGCGGCGACCAGGCCGTGTTTTGGAGGCAGCGTCCCTGCTGTTGATGTGCCCGTTCCCTCGCGCTCCCCCCCCCCCCCCCCCC